ACAGACAGACAGACAGATAGATAGATAGATAGATAGATAGATATATAGATAGATAGATCGATAGGATGGACAGACAGACAGATAGATAGATAGATAGATAGATAGATAAATAGACAGACATACAGACAGACAGACAGACAGATAGATAGATAGGAGAATGTTAGTTTATGGTTACTAAAAATAACTTTTTTTCTCTCTAGAGCATCAGAACTGAATGTTAACCCTGCGCTGACGTCAGGCTGCTGTCCTGTTTGACAGACAGACAGAGGTCGTGATCTCAGGTCAGTGGGGCGTGCTGACGCACTGTATTTAGGATTTTCTGTAATCAGGAGGTAATTCGCTGTATTTTCCAGAGCGGAAAAGAACAGCAGGGAGTGACGTCAGTGGTAATTGGACGGGACACCCTCACCCTCGCCCTGTCCTGGACGCTGAGCCGAGCCCGTGTTTCAGTGTGTGTTTGCGCGGGGAAGCGGTGAGCGGTCTCTCCTGAAGCTCCGGCACTGCAGCGGCATCATGGGAAACTCGCCCGGCATGTCAGTGAAGGAGCTGAGCGCCTGTCATTCCCATAAGTGGTACCGCAAGTTCATGACCGAGTGTCCCTCCGGTCAGCTCACCTTCTACGAGTTCAAGAAGTTCTTCGGCCTGAAGAATCTCTCAGAAACATCCAACGAGTACGTCAAGACCATGTTCAAGACGTTCGACATTAACGACGTAAGACAATCTGTTATCATTTATTATTTACTGTTCTACTGCATGTTAATATCATCCTCATTTAAAGGGTTTAAATTGAGTTTCTTTCTTCGGTTCAACATTAAAGAAGATTTTTTGAAGAATGTTGGAAACCAAACAATCGACGGTAGCCATTGACTTCGATAGTATGGCAAAAAATATGGCTGCCGTCAACTATTTGGTTTCCAACATTCTTCAGAATATCTTCTTTCGTGTTCGACAGAAAACAGAAACTCGTACAGGTTTGGAGCAACATGAGGGGAGAGTAGATGATGACAGAATGTTCACTTTTGGGTGAATTATCTCTTTAATGACTCATATAAATGTAATGCATTATGTATCATTAATATTCATTAATGCCATCACTCTTATTCTGTTTATTTTTACCCTCAGTTATTATTATTAATGAAGATTATTATTATTACTCATTACTATTATTATCGCTTTAAGTCATGTAGTTTTGTGTCCAAAAAAGTCATTAATTATTTGAGCAGAAGTTGCAGAGAGGTGATTGTTTGGGCAAATTTGAATAGTTTTTTATTGTCTTTTTATTAAGTATAACCCAAACATAACGTAACATTTAAAGAGAGATGAGGGTTGAACTCATTGGCCGGCGTTCGTCTCTCGTCTCTTCTGCTTTGGTTCAGCTGAGGATTGTGGGTAAGGAGATCTGTGTTAATACAGTAAACTCAGATCAAACTGCAAGGTCAGAGATCTCCACTAAGACCCATCAGAGCCTGTAATCTGGTTAACTCAGGAGTTTATACACTGACAGCTCGGATCATGGCTTTCATTCACGTCACAACACTTTCCATGGAAAATACAAGAGCGTCTGCAATATCAGCGTCACAGATTAATATCTGTATTACAGCATTGTGACATAAACCTGTCTTCAAAAGCCAAGAGACCTGATTCCTGCAGGCCGTGTAATTTACTACAATATTTTATAATCAAGACATTTTCTAATCTTGTATGTCTTCATTTCTACATAAATATATCTGTTGCACTGAATGACCATGGAACATTATTTCACCCGTATTTTGACATTTTGTTTTCACCAAAGCTATTTGAAGCCTTAAACTTTAAAATACACTTTACTTGAATTTAGTTTGAAGTGGACACTGGAAACGGATCATAACTGTTTCCAGTATTATAATTTGATATGTTTTATTACGTCGTCAGGACGGCTGCATTGATTTCATGGAGTACGTGGCGGCTCTGAGTTTGGTTCTGAAGGGTGGCGTTCAGCAGAAACTGCGCTGGTACTTCAAGCTCTTCGACGTGGACGGCAGCGGCTGCATCGACCGCGAGGAGCTGCTGCTCATCTTCAAGGTATCTGATGACTTCAGTGGCGTCTGTGTTTCTCTTGAGCGCCACCTGCTGGTGTCTCTGAATCCACATTAAACTGTGCATAGCTCACCCACAAATGAAAACCGTCATCATTTCTCACCCTCAAGTTGTTCCAAACCTGTAAGAGCGTCGTTCTTCTGTTTAACATAAAAGATGATAATTTGAAGTATGTTGGGAACCAAACAGTTGACGGAAGTATTAGCTTCTATAGTATTTTTCGCCACTACTAACGTCAACTGCTTGGTTCCCAACATTCTTCAAATGATCTTCTTACAGGTTTAGAACAACTTGAGGGTGAGAAATTATTACAGGAGTTAAATTTTTGGGTGAACTGTCTCTTTAAATCAGTGGCTCCTTTGTTTTTCTTCAGCGCCACCTGCTGGTGAGTCTTATTCCACAGAACTCACTTTTGTCTTTTGTTGTTGATGTTTTTCGGCTCCAGGCCATTGAAGCCATTAACGGAGTAGAGCAGGAGTTTTCTGCTGAGGAGTTGACCGACATGGTGTTTAACAAGATCGACGTTAACGGAGACGGTAATCTGTCTATGTGTGCTATTTAAATATGCAAATGAAGCAATGTGATTTACATATGCATGTGTGTGTGTGTGTGTTCAGGTGAGCTGTCTCTGGATGAGTTCATCGAGGGCATCCAGGCGGATGAGGTTCTGTCGGTGATGTTGACCCAGAGTCTGGATCTGACTCATATCGTCAGTAATATCTACACAGACAGCGACTCTGAGCAGCAGCTCAACTGACCCCAGACCAGTCCGAGATCAGGGTGCCAAACCAGAGGAAGACGAATGAATGAATGCTGTTCATTCAGCATTGTCCTAAGAGCTTTAAACCCTCGATGCATCAGATATTAACAGTATTAATAGTGTTCATCTGCATTTCAAAAGCCTGGTTATTCCCTGTAATCACAGAATAACTGAGACTAGAGCAAACGCTTTATTTAAGTGCACTTATGCATGTTTTATTAATGACATTAAAACCTGAGGTTTCAGCAAAACCTGTAAAATGCAGTGTTTCTTCAGCCCTGTGACGTATGTCAGGCAAATAATGTGTCCTGCAAGAACTCGCTATCTACTCTATTATTGTAGATATGAAGTATTGTAGTGTGCATTTGTAATGTTACTGTAATTTTACACAAAATAAAATATGAATAATGACTGTAATCAACCTCCAGATATATCTGAACATGATCTGTTTAAGGGTTCAACCGAGGAACACAAATCCTCAGTTGAAAACGTTAGTTTTTGGTTTGCATAACGTTATTAGAACGTTTCCCTAACATCTTTGTTCCTATATGATAACTGTTATTATTTCTGTATTTCAGTAAATGCTAAATTAAACGAATTTCAGGGCTCTGCAGGACATTACACACACACACACATCTGTAACGTTTTCATTGGAAAGATAGTTTTACAGGGTTATAAAAATAACCTGAATAGGGAATGTTCTGTATAAGTTGTTTTTAGGTTATTTTAAAAATAACCACCGTGCAACGTTCCGGGAATGTTATTTTATGGTTACAAAAAATTATAACCTAAAACATTTTTTTCCCCCTTAATGTAACCAAAAACTAACGTTAGGGGAACGTTCTGTGTTTGCTGGGGTAATTGTCGACAGAGTTTAGAAATGTAATTTTGTACAAACTATTAATTTAAATAGAAAACTAAGTGTTATGTATATTTTTACCCAGCTTCTTCAAGCGTCTAGTTCAAGTATCATATACAAAATGCAATGAAAAGCTTTGTTGAATGCTTCTGCACAGACGACACAGAATACAACAAAACACCGTTCTGTGTGTTTGTACTTTTTAACTCAACATTACAGCGCCACCGTCTGGCTGAATCCCGCAACGACACCAAACCTCTTCCAGCATGAGTTCAGTGATTATAAATGAGAAATCATAGAGATGGAACTAACACCCAGAAGCTGCTTCGTCTAAATGAATGGCCAGGAGCTGCTACTGCATTCATATATATTAAAAATCATTTTTAAGAGTTTGTATCTTATTCTATTCATCAGAACAGTTAAAGAAGAAACCACGTCTTCCGTATTTCATTTCTGGTTTAAAGAAGGAAAATGAATGGGCGCAGAAAGCTTAATTCAAAAACAATCATAACAATCAAACATGAAATTCAGATTTATCTGTAAAGCACGTTTCACAAGGAGCATAACATGTTATTTCCCCAGTCTCTGTAGATGCAGGTCAGCTCTTTATCAGTGCTTTTCTTTCGATTTCGATTTGAGTTGCTGTGAAAATGGCGTCAGGTAAGAAACAAATTGGATACAAATATATGCAAGCCACGTTTCCTCCGTTTATGAATTGCTTATGAAATATTAGCCAACTGTAGACAGTTGTGAACTTAATTTAGTTTACTGAATGCTATTCCACCGCTTACATTTGTTTAATCGTGGCACTGAACACCAGGAAGAGGTTTCTGTCACTAGTCTGTGATTCTTTACACTTATCTCTGTTGATTTGTGGCAAAAGCCTGTTTATTAATATTATATGTAGGCTGTGTAGATCATTGCAGTACCTGTGAGCTGAAGTGTAATTTTGACACACTGTAGATGTTCAATTTAGTTTACTGAATGCTATTCCACCGCTTACATTTGTTTAATCGTGGCACTGAACACCAGGAAGAGGTTTCTGTCACTAGTCTGTGATTCTTTACACTTATCTCTGTTGATTTGTGGCAAAAGCCTGTTTATTAATATTATATGTAGGCTGTGTAGATCATTGCAGTACCTGTGAGCTGAAGCAATTACCTTCCTAAATGATAAAATCAGCTATATTTTACATGTATAGAAAGACCAACTTATGCTGTGTGAGAAATATTCGGCATCGTCTTATAAGTATAAATTACTTTTTTTCCTTTTAATTAAGTAATTGGCTTTTATATGGCCACAGTAAGTAAGCCAGAGCAAATTTAAGAATATTATATGTGGCAATATTTGTCAAATTAAGTTGTTTTCCTACCCTCTTTAAAATAACATTTAATTAAATAAATAAAAATCATTACAATCAATCAAACATGAAATTCAGATTTATCTGTAAAGCACGTTTCACAATGAGTATAATTCTGACGCAACGTATAGAACTATAACGCAGTAAACAGACCTGGAACTACTTCAGCCATGCAGTACACTACTTTTCATTTTAGAGTGCACTGTATTTATTTGTTTTTAATGAAAGATGCTCTTTTTCTAAAATGAAGGTAGACACTGACTTTCACCCTCATGCTCCAAAAATGACAAAAGCCATCATAAAAGTACCATAAAACCCGTCCAGACAGATCTGGGCCTGAATTTCAAGTCTTCTGAACCCATACAGTAACTTTGTTTGAGGAACAGATTGGTGCAAGTTGTGACTGATATTCCAGCTGAGATCTCGTTTGTGACATCAGAGACGTCAGACAGCACTTTTGATACAGTAGCCTTGAGCATAGAGTAAAAAATGGTTTCTGCGTATTGCAGTTGAAGCTGTTTCTGTGTTTTGTGTCATTCAAACACAAGAATATTTCCAAAGCTTGACAGAATCCTTCGTAGTGAAGATTCAGGGGGCAGTTTGATGTTCTGAAAGCAGAGGCTATAATTCCTCCTGTCGGTGATTCCCTGTGAGATCAGTCTGTTAAGTGAGGACTAGCATTTTTGGGGCCCTAAGCAGAATTTCAAAGTGGTTACCAGAGAAATGATTGAGGCCCACGGAGAGCCTGCTGTACTGGTTACTGTACTGAACAAGTGTTAGCGGCTCCTGATGCTCACCGGACTCTATGCAGCTGCCATTCTTTTACTTTTAGTGAACAAAATGTGTAAAAGTCCAAGTAATGATCATCCTAATAGAACATCAATATAATTATTGATGATAACTCTTCATGATAAATCTTTCATAGATGTTCTGAAGCTTCTGAAAGGGTTACTTGATATTGTAACATTACTACTAGTGTCTTGTGTTAAATCTGGTAATTCTGTAGAATTTTTAATATGAAATTATTTAGTGATGATTGTGCTTTTTTTATTATTACATTTTGTTTATGTGTCTTTTTCAGTGAGTGATCTGAGGATTGTGCTGATAGGAAAGAATGAATCAGAAAACAACAGTGTGGGAAAAATTATACTGGGTACAGAAGCGTTTGACAGTGGAGCTGCATCTTATTCACATTATCTCAGTGAGAAAATCAGTGGAAAGGTGGAGAAGACACACATCACAGTCATCAAAACTTACCTGCTCCATCCAAATTTCCAACAGCATCAGATAATAGAGGCAGCGAGAGAGTGTGTGTCTCTGTCTGCTCCAGGACCTCATGTGATCGCACTCGTACTGCAGTATAAGGACTTCAGTGAGGAGGACACAAACAGAGTGAAATATGTGCTGAACCTCTTCAGTAAGCAGGCCATTAAACACACTATAGTGGTGACCTCTGATGAAGAGCCACTTACATCCAAATTGGCTTCTAAGATATGGAATAATACAGTTTCTAATTTAATAAAGGAGTGTGGAGGACATCTTAAGTTTGATACAATAAACCTAAGATGGCGCTCTGAGTTGATCAGAAGGATAGAAGAGATACTCAAGAACGAGCATGCAGAATTTCTCATCTGTAACAAGTATGAGGATGGAGGTGATGGAGCATCAGTGGATGAAGATCTGAGCAGATCTGGAGCTTCAGACAGAGACGATGAGAAACAGAAGAAGGATTCAGATCTCAAAGAGAGCACAAAAACAGGACGTGATGGAGGAGGTTTGTCAAAGTCTTTTTTTTTTCAGATAATGCCTCTAAAAATATGATACTTTTATATGAGACAGGAAATGACATGGAGAAAAATGAGGAGCACTACTGTATGACTATTATTTATTCTTCTTACTAATCTGTTTTAAGTTGAAAAACTTCTAAAATGTTTGTAAATAAAAAACTAGATATTTTAAATGGGGTATTAAGACATTGACAGAAAAACAAAGTATTGTCTCTTATTGTACATTAGTGTTTTTTTGTTGTTGTCCTTTTTGGAGCTTGAAGGTAAAATCATTATTTCACTTTTGTATTCAGTGGAAAACACAGACAATCATATGTGCTTGTTACAACAACATGTGGGTAAATAATAACAGAATTGTCAGTTTAGGGTGAACTATTCCTCTAAATACTGGAGTGTGCGTGCAGACTGTTTGTATGTGTCATAGATCCATACATACAGAGAAAATTCACTCAAACAATAATAATACATTTATTTTTGAATACATTTATTTTATATAGCGCCTTTAAAAGTTGCTTTCTCAAGGTGTTTTCATGAAAGCTTACCTAAAGGAAAACACAACAATATAAGACAATATACTTTAAATTCAACAAGAAATAAATCACAAAACAATACAATAAAAAAACGAATAAAATAAAAGCATTCCTGAAAAAGAATGTTTTGAGAAAAGTTTTAAAAACAGCTAAAGAATTATGTAAATTATGAGAGAATAAGTCAGTAAACTATTGCAAAGTTGCCTTCGTTTGATAAAACATTGTGCTGCAATCTAATTATATTTTACAATATAATATTTTTGTTGTTGTTTAACTCTTTCCCCACCAGAATTTTCAGAAAAAAGTTGCCAGCCACCGCCAGCATTTTTGATAATTTTCACTCAATTTTCATGGCCACCAGAATATTTTGTTTTATGAATATCTGAACATGCAATACACCAAAATAAAGAACAGAGGCTCTACTTAAAAAAACAAACAAACAAAAAAAGTTTTATTTTAGCTTCAAGCATTCTTTTTTTTAAATCAACACTTGAATGTAGGTAAGTTTATTTAAAAAAGCAACATTTTTATCAAAGACTACATCTGGATAATATTCCGTACGATTATCAAAGCATAAATCCAGTAAATCGCTTCCATCAACACCTCCAAAGCTTCACAGTCCTTCACCACTTCTGGGATCACTATTTCACTCGCTAACATTAGGCAGTTTTCATTTATATGCCGTTTATTGTTGATGATCGCATTATTTTTCATACGCATCTGCTTACATATGAGATCTCTTGTTTCTGCGTCTTCCTCGCATGTGTTTTTGATCGTGAGATTCTGGTCTCATTCAGAAGATGTGTAATAGCGCTTCTGAGTGTAAGCTGTAAAATCTCATCTTTGGCGGGGAAAGAGTTAAGTAAGTTTACATTTGGTAAAGAAGCTGAACTGTGTCTCTTGTCTCTAATCTTGTTTCAGTGACGACTACTAAATCAAAGCTGAACATCGTGCTGTGTGGAAATCATCCAACACTCAAGAACTCAGTGTCTAGAATCTTTAGAGGGATAATAAATAAACAAAAGAATAAACAAATAAATAAACTTTTACCTCAGAAAGAGAGGAGCAATGTGAGTGTGAAGAGAGATGGAATGATTAATGGACGGCAGATGAGTGTAATAGAGCTTCCAGCTCTCTCTCGTCTCTCAGAGGAGGACGTGATGCGGGAGACTCTCCACGGTGTGTCTCTCTGTGATCCTGGAGTTCATCATTTCATCCTCGTTACTCCTGTCAGTCCACACACTAATGAAGACCGAGCAGAAATGGAGAAGATTAAAGGAATATTTAACTCTCAAGAACACTTCATGGTGCTTTTCTTTACTGAACTCACTGTTGACAAAAGTGTCTCAGATTTTGTAGCGTCCACAGAATCTCAGAGTGTTGCGAGTCTCTATGGGAGCTGGTACAATGTGATGGGGTTACAGGACCAGAGAAACTCTCAACAGATCTCAGCCCTGTTAGACTGTATAGAGAGCATGAAGACGGAACCCTATTCTCTTCAGACATATATAAGAGCTCCAGAGAGGAGAGTCAGACATGAACTAGAGGAGAAACTGAGAGTGAGAGATAATGAAATCAAAGAGTTACAGCAGAAGATCAAGACACTGGGTGAGTGCATTCATTTATTTTTAATAGGACATCTATTTTTGTGAGAAATAAGGTTACAGGTTATTTACAGTACAAATAATCTCATATTGGGTGAACAACACATTAATAAATACCGTTAAGCTACCTATTTCAAGGAGAAAAAATAGAAAATATAATCTTAAACCTTTTTACAAATACAGTTGTTGAATCTTTTGCACCTAATGACTGGCTAAAGTCTGTTATCTCTAGACAGCACCAGACCCTAAAGGCTGGAATACACTACATGATTTTTGCTCAGATTTACAGTGTGGACAAGTTGATTTGAGATGACAGATTTCACAGAAAATGGTGCCTTAGCCCATTTATGTGCATAATAACATGTATAAATCACATCTCGGTAAGATGTCAACATTTAAACCACTTTTACCACGTGTTTTTTTTTTTCACATTTGTATCGTTTGATATTCGAGTAAGCTGAAACCCAGTACTTGCATTTAAAAGTGTAATCCGGCATTTTCTCTTAAAAAAATAGTGTTGTCATTGCTGCGCAGTGAATCTCGGGATAGCTTGGGCCACGAAGGATCCATCAATCGTATCCTTCATTCCCCGGTAAACGAAGGGCACATTAGCAGGCCGTTTTTGAAGGAGTCTTCAGATTGGGACAGCCTTCATCGCACCGTGGTGACGCAATCCGTCTTCAAATGCAGCGTTCAAAGGAAGCCACCTCTGAATTGGGACGCAGCTTATGAATCTATCCAGTCTGATGAAATCAGAAAGTCTGGCAATGTGTGATCCTCAGTCATTTAGTGTATGATGGACAGTTTTCCTTTGTCACTATTTACAAAGTCGGCAAATGTATGATGCCTGGTGTTTTAAAATATGTTCAGCTTTTAAAAGTTGTGTAGTGTATTCCAACCTTAAGTCAAGTCACCTTTATTTGTATAGTGCTTTATACAATACAGATGGAGAAACTAGAGAAATTTGAAGAAATGAAGAGAAGAATTAATTCATTAGAGACGTGGTTTCAATCACAAGGTAATGATCAGAAAATCTGCATTGATTAAACACTTTTCATGATTGCTGAAGTCTACACAGATTTCGAAGACAAAACAATAACATTAAATGCAGAGTTCAGAAGAAATAATATAATACATCATGATGCTTCAGTATAAATTACACACAATATTCTGTGATGATCTGGATAATTGACAGTCTTCACCTGAAATTCAATATGTTGTTTTTAATGTTTCTTTATGGTTTCTATATTGTTTTAAATCTATCTTTAGATTCAAGAGACAGAGAAGATGATCTGAGGATTGTGCTGCTGGGAAAAACTGGAGCTGGGAAGAGTTCAACTGGAAACACCATCTTAGGAAGAGAAGCATTTAAATCAGACTTTTCTCACACATCTGTTACTAAAGACTGTCAGAAAGAGACAGATGAAATCAGCAGCAGACACATCACTGTGATCGACACTCCAGGACTGTTTGATACTGAACTCAGTAATGAAGAAATCCAGAGAGAAATCAGCAACTGCATCTCTATGATCCTGCCTGGACCACATGTGTTTCTCTTACTGATTCCACTGGGACGATTCACTCAAGAAGAACAAACAGCAGTGAAGATCATCCAAGAATCTTTTGGAGAAAACTCTTTAAAGTACACCATAGTGCTATTTACCAATGGAGACAAACTGAAGAACAAATCCATTGATCAGTTTTTGGGAGAACCTGGATCTGCCCTTAAAAACCTGATGGAAGCGTGTGGAAACAGATTCCATGTGTTCAATAATGAGACTGGAGACCGAACACAGGTGACTGATCTACTGCAGAAGATAGACAACATGGTGAAAACAAACGGAGGGAGTTACTACTCGTGTAAGATGTTCAGAGAGATGGAGAGAGAAATACAAGAACAACAGATGAAGATCCTGATGGAGAGAGTGGAGCAAGTGAACAGAGAAAAAGAAGAACTGATGAACAAACATGAAGAAGAGAAAAAGAGGATGAAGATGGAGATGGAGGAAGAACAACAAAATCATGGCAAAGAGAGAAAGAGAAGAGAAGAAGAATTTATTGAGAGAGAAGAACGATATAGAAGAGACGTTAAAGACATCGAGGAACAAGAGAGAAAGATACGAGAGGAGCTGAAGAGAGAACAAGAGGAATGGGAGAAACAGAGACAACAGGAACGACAAAGAAGAGAAGAAGAGGAGGAGAAATGGAGAAAGAGAGAAGAGGAAATGTGGGATGAATATAATCAGAGACTTAAACAAGAGAAAGAGAGAAGTCAGAGAGAGAGAGAACAACTTCAGTTCAAACATGAAGAAGAGATGAAGAGAATAAAGATGATGATGGAGGAAGAAAGACAGATGCATGATCAACTGAGAAAGAGAAGAGAAGAAGAGGATGAGAGAAGGAGAAAGATAGAAAAGCAAACATGGGATGAATATTATGAGAAAATAAAACGAGAAAGAGAAAGAAGACTGAGAGAGAGAGAAGAACTTCAGTTCAAACATGAAGAAGCGAATAAGAGAATAAAGATGATGATGGAGGAAGAAAGACAGAAGCGTGACGAAGAGAGAAAGAGAAGAGAAGAGGAATTTAGAGAGAGAGAAGGACAATATGAAAGAGACATTAAAGACATTGAGGAACAAGAGAGAAAGATACGAGAGGAGCTGAAGAGAGAACGAGAGGAATGGGAGAAACAGAAACAACAGGAACGACAAAGAAGAGACGAAGAGGTGGAGAAATGGAGAAAGAGAGAACAGGAAATGATGGATGATTATTATCAGAGACTTAAACAAGAGAAAGAGAGAATGAAGATGATGATTGAGACAGAAAGACAGATTTATGATAAAGAGAGAAAGAGAAGAGAAGAAGAGGATGAGAGGAAGAAGAAAGAACAGGAAACATGGGATGAATATTATGAGAAACTTAAACAAGAGATAGAGAGAATGAACATGAAGATGGAGGAAGAAAGAGAGAATCATGATAAAGAGAGAAAAAGAAGAGGAATTTAAGAGGAGAACAATATAAAATAGACATTAAAGAATGAAGACGAGAGATTTTATATTAATTTTAAATTGTACTATAAGTGCATATTAAATGTCTTATTCTGGAACAACTTTAAGCATGTTAAGTGTTAAGATACCTTTTATGATCAATTTTAAGCTAACTGACATATATTTTAATATAATTCATAATTCAATATAACACTTCAACAACTGTGTTGGCTAACTCATGTTTTCCTCATTATCTCACATTAGTTCGCCGTTAATGTTAAGATACCAATGACTCCACCTGATCAGCTAAATTGCGGTAAAAAGGCAGCGGAACATACAAAAGTTAATGCTACTTGGTTTAACTAAAGTTTATTTGAGCTAATATAGGTGACCTTAAAGGGATAGTGGGCCTCCTCCTGCACTCGAATCAATGACTGATGCTTGAGTCAAAAGATTTTGATGAAATGGTGTTTTGAGCTGACTTACATAGAGGTTTGCTCCACCGCTTTTGTTATTGTTTTGTAAATGCATTTATGCCCCTGATGTTATTAGTAGTAATATATGACTTTTTTAGAGTAACTTACCCAACACTGGTTGTTATGTCGGGGATGAAGGAAGGGTGCATTTGTTTCAGCTGTCGGCGAGATTGACACAAAACTACACAACATTGAAAAAATAACTCTTAAAATGACCCATCGGGCTCAACCCAGCATTTGAGCTGAAAAGTCAATGGAAAAACAAATCACACATAGATGCCTTCTCGATTCATATAAATAATGATCAGTATGTGAAGAAGCCTGCTGGTGTTTGATCATCATACACAATAAGAAAGAACTTCTTTACACCGTGTCGTAACCAGACGTGATGCTACGCATGCGATAAAACGTATCTTTTCCATGTTTGCCATTACAGCAATACGTAACGAGCGACAGTGGATTCTATTTTAGAAACAGTTTCTATTTCTGCGATGTCGTGCGAAGTGTATTCCACGACAAAGATTGTTTCAGTCACTTAGTATGTATTTTACTAATTTTAAAATAGTTTAATATTTATGAATTATGCACTTATCCATTCAGAGAGGCTCCGCCCACACGCTGTTCTGATTGGCTGTGGTTTTTGACTGATTTTCTCGTCGTGTAGCAATGTCACATCAGGGGCTAGTTCAAGCTCAAACCGGTGCGTAACGTTTTGCTACGGTTTCCGGTTTGAACGACATGTTTCCTGGAAACGGTGTGCAACAGGGTTTGAGATGCGTTTTCTCTTGTTTGGTGGGTGTGTCACATATCAGCCCAATCAGCAGCAGCATGTGTATAAACCATGCGGTATTAAAGAGACAGCTCGCACAATGTAATTAACATCCAAATAAATTCACAAGAGCAAGTATATTGTTTGCACATGCTTATTTACATTAAAGGCAAAATAACTGAAATAATAAGAGCACAAGTATAGATCTGGAACTTCTTTAAGTCTGTCTAAATATCATTTAGTGATTGCAATGTCTTCTGATCCATATCTTTTCCTTAGGAAGGTGTGCTAGACACTGATTACTGTAACATAAAAATACTATACATATTTATATATTTCGCTATTGTATTATGGAGTGACACTTTTATAAACTTTTCTATCAGCATTATATGCTATTGTCTGGCCTTATTTATTTTTTAAATGACAAGTGACTTTGTGACATCCTGCACTTGCTATACTTTATACTTCAGTGCGATAAAGTACACAATTTGTTATAATATTTAATTTTATAATAAATCAAAACTAGGGAGTTGAAATGGCAGCTGCAGCCAATGAGTGATCCTCTGCTGCCATCTCCTGGTTATAACGATAATTTCATTTTCATCTTAACAAGTCTTTATTTTTCGCCAAGAGACACGTTTTTGGCACATTTCTTCATGTCGTCTTCATGAACGAAACGTGAGCCTTTAATAAAGTGAATTTTGCTGCACCGAGTTGAGAAATAATAAGGCTTTAAAATTTTATAAGATTTAAAAAATGTGTTATAAGGTAAGATATTGATTATCGAGAATACCATTACGATGTCTAACCGCCTAAACATTTACGATAGTGTTTATTTGTCAGCATTACATATCTGGGTACTTTCCTGGGATTACCAGACTCTGCATATAAAATATGTTCTGTAATAACATGAAACTGTATGTTAATTCCTCTATCATTATTTACGGTGTTGCAATTATTTAGTTTCTCAGTTTCTGATAAGAATGAGGCAGGAGAGGTTTCTGTGAGAGTCTCTTCCTATATTTAGCACATATATAAAATGAGCTTCACCGGAAGATTACGAGCTGGCTTATCTTTACCCGGAAGTTAGTGCATATGGCCAGTTCGCTTTACTCGGGAATCTTACCGCGTAGTGTCTGGTTAAGATGCGTTAAAGTGTTCTGACATGAAGTTGCAATAATCTTCCAGCCGGTACAGCGTCTGTCTGTTTATATGTCACAATGAAAAAAAGAAGAAAAAAAGTCAAACTCTCAATTCACTTGTAAAGTAGCCTAGCTTGTTTGTAAAAGTTTATTTATAGAATTCAGCAGTTTCATTTATGTTAAAAATGACTTTTTTAAATGGTCAATATGTAGAAAGCTATTATATAGTGTTAAATGTAGCATTTGTGATGGGTTCTCATGCAGGAGCAGCTTGTTTAGTGAGGAACACTTTTAATGGTGAACAATATTTCTTTACAAACAGAACAATAACTGAAAAATCTGTTTATATTGTTAAATGGTTTGTAAAATGTATTATTTGGGTACTGTTCAGAACCTCAGTGATAAAGGACTAACAGCATCACACAATCTGTTGAGGAATTTTATTTATTTATTTTTTTGTGTTAATAGACAGCATAAAATAACCGAATATGTGGAAATACAGCATGATTCCAGAATAATGCTCAGATGATCATGTTACAAATAATTCAGTGAAAACAACACCCAAAGTAAATAAGAACTCCCCGTATAACTCTCTCTAAACTGTTAGTTATGATTTATAAGTATCATTGTGATCAGTGTTAGAGCGAATCCCAAATCAGAAACATTAGAACCAACCCCAGATGCATGTGAGAAAATATCTGTTTTGTCTGATACTCAAAACCCGTTAACCCATTAGCTGAAACTCATTAATCTCTGTCACATAGCAGAAAGAAAGCAGGAGTGCTTAGTTGCATGTTTCAGTGCTCAGTCTGACTTCATTGGCTTTGTCCAAACTTCATCCCTACTTTGTCTCACCAGCAAATCCAACAAACATTTTTATACCAAAACAATAGAAATGTAAAATTACTGCTTCATATCATCGTCCTGTGATATTTAAAACCTTGAAATAGAGACATTCTCTTACTCCTGAAGACAAATATCCATTGAAACAATCAATCATAACGGTGTGTGTCCTCTGGCATGGATCAAGTTTTTTCAATTAATTCCAAAGTGAATTGAGTGGTGGATTGACAACAGACGGGAGAAAGCATTTAAAGTGGTCAAGAATGTCAAATGGGTTTGGGTTAGGTAAGCAGTGCTCGACTTAGAAGCCAGCTGCTGTGAGTTTCAGGTAGTGATGTCTGTCTTAAGTGTTTAAAAATATAGATTTAGTGCGTAAATTGTCGTTTACACATTGGATGTTTTGCAGTTGTCATAAATGTGTTAAAGAGGTCATATGATGCCAATTTTCCACAAGTTGATATGATTCTTTAGGGTCTTAATGAAAAGTATGTAACATAGTTTGGTTAAAAGTTCTCAATGGTAGTGTATAACTACACCTTTTTTACCCTGTCAAAAACAGCTCTTTTCAGATCAAGCCGTTTTTATCATTTTCCTTTAAATGTTAATGAGCTCTGCTGTCTCCCATCTCTTTCTCTTCTCCACTCGTCTATCTTCATCCTCTTGTTTTCTTCTCTTCCACTCCTCTTTTCCCTCTCGTTCCAGCTGCTCATAACGTCTCTCCATTTCATTGATCTTCTCTTCACATTCTTTCTTTTTCTGTTCTCTCTCTGTTCTCTGTCTCTCTCTCTCCTCCTCTATCATCTGTTTTTCTTCTTCTCTCTCTCTTTCAAATGTCTTTCTCTTGTCCTCCAGTTCTTCTTGTTTTTCTCTCAGCTGTTCCTCATGTTTCTCTTTTCTCTCTCTTTCCTCTTCCTCTCGTTCACTCATCTGTTGTTTCTTCTCATCCTCCCATTCTCTCTGCTGTCGTTTAATTACATTTTGAGCCTCTTTGTCATTTTCAGCCTCTTTTATTTTTCTCTTCCAGTCTTCTCTCTCTTTCTCTTCTTGTTTCTTCCTCATTTGTTCCTCTGAATCTCTCTTTTTTATTTCCTCTTCCGGTTTCATCTGTAATTCCACCATAATACATTCGTTCCTCAGGTTCTCTCTTTCCTCATCTGTCTTTTGTTTCTTCGCCTCCTGTCTCGTTCTCATGCTTTTTTCTTCCATGTCATATTTGGCTTTCAATTCTTCAACTTGAGCCTGATTTTTTCTTTCATTTTCATTTATCATTTCCATTCTCTGTTCAATGGAGATCGCTGCCTCCTCAAACATCTCATTAGTGAAGTATCGGCCCTGATTAGATCTCTTCACCTTTTCTATCATATTTAAGAAATGAGTAACTTGCATCTGATCTTGTGTTTCTGTGTTGTTAAAAGACAGGAATCTGTTTCCACAGTCACTGATCAGTTTCTTGAGTTCAGCATCTTTACTTTTCTCTACGTATTGTTCTATTGTTTGATTTTTCAGTTGGACTTTAATGAAGTTAAAACTGTTGTAATCTTTTTTCAGATCATCTCCTCTAGTGAAGAGAACAATGCAGAAATCTGCTGCTTTTGGTCCAAAGATCTTCATTATCATGTCTAAAGTATTTTTCTCCTCTTGGGTGAATTTTCCCACACTCAACACAATAATAAACACATGAGGTCCAGGTGCTGACAGTGAAACACATTTCATTATTTCTTCCTGCAATTGTTCTTTTGTCAGTGAGGGGTCAAAGAGTCCTGGAGTATCAATAACAGCTACTGATCGACCATCAACTTCACCAATTACCTTTGTACAAGTAGTGGTCACTAAACGTGAACTGGCTTCACTGTGAAACCCATTTTTTCTGAGGATAGTGTTTCCTGTGGCAGATTTTCCACTTCCTGTCCTCCCAAACAGCAAGATTCTCAAACATTCTGGATATGATGATGAATTTTCTTCATCTGAAAATGACAATAATATAATTTTTTAGATTAAGAACAATTGATTACATTTGACCTTGAGCAATGAGTGTTAAACTCAAACCTGAAATGCAAACTATATGCAACAGTTTATCTCAGTGATTGTCAACGCCACAACACTCCTATCGCCTGTAGGCCCTGAATATTCTGTAATAATAATAATAATAATACATTTGATTAAATAGATTTTTGTGAATGTTTTGAATTGAAGATCAGATTTATTTTCACAGCCTTCTATACTCATAATTACCAGTGGGTAATATATATTATACACCTACACAAAGAAAAACAAGTAGATAGAATAGAAACATTTTTTGGTTGTCAGCGCATGATCAGTGGAGCAGTGTCGTGTTTAAATAAGGTCCAGTTGGTTGCCTGATTTGTGAGTAGCCGTAGTTAATACTCGCTTGAGATCAAAAGAAGCAAGCAGAGTGTGGAAGTCTGCAGCCTGAGGTTTATCTAGGTGGATGTTGAAGTCTCCAAGCATATCACTGTATATCACAACTGTTCAGTGTGTGTTTAAACACATAATGTTTATTTTAAGTTTCAGATGTTTAAATACACACTAGAAAAAAAACATTTGTAATTTGTTAAAATACACACTGATATCTATGGAAGCAGAAATAATACATCTTTCAAACATAATGTGAAGACGTGGTTTATTCCTGTCAAATGCAATGTGCAGGTAACTATAAAGCTTACTCTCGTCACCTGTTCACCAGCCATTCACTATATGTCTTTTGGGAGAAATGGATGTAATTGTGTGTTGTAAATCCGACAGGCTCTGACTGCATGGCAGCTCACAAACCCCCGATCACAAATGATTAACTGTTTGGAGCTGGAGGCTCCTCTGTAGAATAACCTGATCTAGAGTACTAAATGCTGCTTGTTACGACTGATGATTCTAAATCACTGAAATATTTCCTCAACAACATATCAACCATAAAAACTGTTGAAAAGCAAAGTAAAAGCTTTGTTTACATCCAAATACTATATTTTTGCCAAATTAATTTAAATATTAGCTGGTTATTGTTTCGACTTACTCTCTGTAAACATATTAGGATGATTAAAGTTGGGTGTTTCTTCTTCTCCCATTGTTGGTTGTTTCTTCTTCCCCCATTGATTCTGTTTCTCCCATTCCTCTCGTTCTCTCTTCAGTTTCTCTCGTATCTTTCTCTCTTGTTCCTCAATGTCTTTAATGTCTCTTTCATATTGTCCTTCTCTCTCTCTAAATTCTTCTTCTCTTCTCTTTCTCTCTTTGTCACGCTTCTGTCTTTCTTCCTCCATCATCACCTTCATTCTCTTATTCGCTTCTTCATGTTTGAACTGAAGTTCTTCTCTCTCTCTAAGTCTTCTTTCTCTTTCTCGTTTTAGTTTCTCATAATATTCATCCCATGTTTGCTTTTCTATCTTTCTCCTTCTCTCATCCTCTTCTTCTCTTCTCTTTCTCAGTTGATCATGCCTCTGTCTTTCTTCCTCCATCATCATCTTTATTCTCTTCATCTCTTCTTCATGTTTGAACTGAAGTTGTTCTCTCTCTCTCTGACTTCTCTCTTCCTCTTGTTTAAGTCTCTGATTATATTCATCCCACATTTCCTGTTCTCTCTTTCTACATTTCTCCACCTCTTCTTCTCTTCTTTGTTGTTCCTGTTGTTTCTGTTTCTCCCATTCCTCTCGTTCTTTGTTCAGCTCCTCTCGTATCTTTCTCTCTTGCTCCTCGATGTCTTTAATGTCTCTTCTATATCGCTCTTCTCTCTCAATAAATTTGTCTTCTCTTCTCTTTCTCTCGTTGTCATGATTCTGTCGTTCTTCCTCCATCTTCATCTTCATCCTCTTTTTCTCTTCTTCATGTTTGTTCATCAGTTCTTCTTTTTCTCTGTTCACTTGCTCCACTCTCTCCATCAGGATCTTCATCTGTTGTTCTTGTATTTCTCTTTCCATCTCTCTGAACATCTTACATGAGTAGTAACTCCATCAGGTTTTTAAGGGCAGATCCAGGTTCTCCCAAAAACTGATCAATGGTTTTGTTCTTCAGTTTGTCTCCATTGGTAAATAGCACTATGGTGTACTTTAAAGAGTTTTCTCCAAAAGATTCTTGGATGATCTTCACTGCTGTTTGTTCTTCTTGAGTGAATCGTCCCAGTGGAATCAGTAAGAGAAACACATGTGGTCCAGGCAGAATCATAGAGATGCAGTTTCTGATTTCTCTCTGGATTTCTTCATTACTGAGTTCAGTATCAAACAGTCCTGGAGTGTCGATCACAGTGATGTGTCTGCTGCTGATTTCATCTGTCTCTTTCTGACAGTCTTTAGTAACAGACTCTTCAGAAATGTCTGATATAAACACTTCTTTTCCTAAGATGGTGTTTCCAGTTGAACTCTTCCCAGCTCCAGTTTTTCCCAGCAGAACAATCCTTAGTTCATCTTCTCTGTCTCTTGAATCTAAAGATAGATCAAATAAAAGTGAATATTCAAGTGAATATTGTAAATTATCGAGATCATCAGAGAATATTGTGTATATTTTGTTTTGTTTGTTTATTTATATAGCACTGCTAAAAACAACCGAGGTTGGACCAAAGTGCTTTACATAATATCAGTACAAAAACCGCAAACAGACAATAATAAAAGATACACGTATTAACAAATCAAACATCATAGGCACCACCATTTACCCCATACAATTTTGGCTGCTGTAGGCTGGCAGAACTAAGTGAGCTTTCAGCAGGTTCCTGAATACTGATAAGGACGTAGCAGATCTAATAGATAAAGGCAACTCATTCCATAATCTTGGTCCCATAACTGCAAAAGCATGATCGCCTTTTGGAAGGCGGTTTGTCCTTGGAACTGTAAGTAGTTTTTGGTTTTCTGACCGCAGTGCTCTAAGGGGATTATAAGGGATCAGCAAATTAGTAAGGTACATGGGGGCCTTATTATTTAAAGCTTTATATACAAACATTAAAATCTTATATTTGATTCTAAAATGAACGGGGAGCCACCGCAAATTTGCTAAAACTGGTGTAATGGACTCAGATTTCTTGACCCTCTTTAAGAGCCTCGCCGCCACATTTTGCAGAGATTGCAGGCGTGCCAGAGATGTGGTGGAGATGCCACCATACAGGCCAGTTGCCACATGAAGTGCTTGCCCTGTTATACTTGTCCCTCTGAGCCCCTTGGGTGCTTAACCCTCTGTGGCTGACAAACGACGGCGCGTTTTGGGGCGTTTTTTCCTGATAACGGCGAAATTAATTTAAATGATGTCATTTTTAATCGTACAGATAAGAGCAATACATCATTCGAATCTGTAAAGGGTCTACTTTTATTTGTATACACTCATAACAACAGAATGCTGTGCTTTTGTAAAATAAAGAAAACAAACAGGGTGTGCTTTCAGTTGTCTCAGTCTCCGTGAACTTCTTTCTGAAACGCGTCACATAAATGAACCCAAACTCAACGAATACTTCACACACAGACATGAGAGATAAATCTATAGAAAGCTTGAAGTGTGTACTTTTAAATTAAGTATTGTCTAATAATACAAATATTCTCTGATAAAGTAATTTGTATGAAACCAAAGCGAGGTACAGTTTTTTTCCACCCGAGCTCATTATCTGTAATGTGATCACGCCCACGCACTATTCATTCGGTAATCGTCCACATGAGATGTGCGAACCTGTAAACGCCCACATCACCTCTGTAAACAAAGCCTGAAGATTCATCAAGTTAATCTCGGATACTTTTCGTTTCTGGAAGAAAGCCAGTATTTACCTCAGAAGAAGAACACGACGCACAACTTGAGCTGCGGAGATCATTTCTGATGAGTAAGTCATGTTTTATTACTTGCATTAGTTGTTATTGTGACATAACTTGTACACATTTTACTAGTTAGACTTTTCCCAAACTCTAAATCCTGACTAAATGTATGAAATCAAGTGAAACATTTTGAAATGTTTCATTTCATTGCATCTAAATGTCAAAAACAGAAGTAGTTTTTGAAGTAGTTCACATATCAGTCGTTCCTCTCCATAGCACGTGTGATTGTACTGGTTCCCATAGCATCTAGCGACGCAGTATGAGTGTAGTATTGAAAGGGAACGTACTCGGTTACTAACGTAACCTGGGTTACCTGAGATACGGGAACGAGTACTGCGTTGCTAGCCATGCTATGGAGCTGCATGACTCAGTGTCGTCACTTCAGTCGAAGTAACCTGAGGATCCTATGCCAGAATGCCCGCTTATATAGCCAGATTGCCCCGCCCATATTGGCGGGCTCTGGCGGGCTTCGTGGTGATAGGCTTGTGTAGCTCCGATGACTTGCCATTGGTTCATTTTTATTTCACTGCACGAACCAATGGCCATGCAGTTACACTGCGTTACTAAAAAAAGGCTTCAGTATCGAAGGAAACTTCATCCACATGAGGGACTTTTCCCATAGCGTCTAGCGACACAGTACTCGTTCCCGTAACTCAGGGAACCCAAGTTACATTAGTAACAGAGTACGTTCAATTTTGATACCAAATGTACACTTCCTTAAACAACAACAAATATATATTGTAAAATATAATTATATTGCAATACATTCTTTTAGCAATATTTTACTGACTTACTGTTTGATGAAATTTGCTGTCTATGTTTGGATCTCTGACAACGTACTTACAAACTGTGTACACTCAGCCTTTAAAGGAATAGTTCACCCAAAACTGAAACTTCTATTATCATTTAGCCACATGTGATTGTCTTTAATTACATGAAATACAAAAAGGTCTTTTTGGCAGAAAGTCCAGGCTGCTTTTATCACACTTCAAAAGCAGAATGATGATTTTACCATCAAGCTCCAAAAAGAAAACAAAACACCACAAATATATCCTAAAAGCATACTTTGTTGTTTTGTCAATGTCTTAATTCCCTATTACAATGTATATATTTATTTATTTACAAACATTTTAGAAGCTTTTTAAACAAAAACAGATTAAATGGAATAAAAAATATTCAAGTTATGCAGTAGTGCTGCAGGAGACTCAGTTTCTTCATTTTTCTCTATAATTTTCTGTCTCTACTACACTGTAACTATTAAAGGACAAAAAAGTATTTCATAATCCTTTTTTTGAGGCATTATCCTGAAAAAAAAACTTTGACAAACCTCCATCACATCCTGTTTTTGTGCTGTCTCTGAGATCAGAATCCTTCACTTTGTCATCTCCTCTGACTGAAGCTCCAGATCTGCTCAGATCTCCATCCACTGATGATCCATCACCTCCATCCTCGTACATGTTACAGATGACAAATTCTTCACACTCGTCCTTGAGTATCTTCTCTGTCCTTCTGAACAACTCAGAGCGCCATCCTGGGTTTCCTTTATCAAACTGCAGATGTCCTCCTCCACACTCCTTTATTAAATAATGAATAGCACTATTTGTGCTCTTATAAGACATGAATCCACGTGGCTCTTCATCAGTAGTCAGCACTATAGTGTGTTTAATGGCCTGCTTACTGAAGAGGTTCAGCACATATTTCACTCTGTGTCTGTTGTTCTCATTGAAGTCATTATACTGCAGTACGAGTGCGATCACATGAGGTCCTGGAGCAGACAGAGACACATAGTCTCTCACTCCTTGTATTGACTGTTGATGTGAGAGATTCGGCTGGAGCAGGAGAGTGTTTATAACTGTGATGTGTCTCTCCTCCACCTCTCCACTGATTCTCTGACTGAGCTGCCGTGAATAAGATGCAGCTTTACTGTCAAATGCTTCTGTTCCCAGTATAGTGTTTCCCACTCGGCTGTTTTCTGATCCATTCTTTCCCAGCAGAACAATCCTCAGATCACTCACTGAAAAAGAGCACAAACATATACATTGAGTTTCCATGTTTTATAGAGACTCTCCATAGATATAATCATCACTGAAGAATCTTATATTAGAAGTTCTACAAGAGTAATGATAATATTAGCATATTTCACACAGGACGTATTAGTAATGTTACAACATTTGAGACATTTTAAGAACATATAAAAGATGCACATTTGTTTAATACTTAGTCAAGAATCTAATATGATTTATGTGCTCATAACCCAAAAGGACGAAATGTTATTTTTCTCTGACACAAATTTCTAGTATACAACTCAGTTGGTCTATTTCTCATAGAAACCTAATGGAAATGGTTTCAAAAGTCTTGAAATACAGCACATAGTTGTATGTACAAGTTTTAATTGTTTTTATATTTTTGATAATAAAATCATGAAAAGCAGAAGCTTTGATGTTTTGTATTCCACAAAAGAAAAAGTCATACGATTCTAGAAAAAAAAAAAACATTTTTTACACTGAATATTGTGTAACAATAATATTATTCACCGACCTTTTATATAATATAAGACAATATATTCCCATTCTGTTTCATAAAAGGAACATACAAAAGTTTCAAGTTGACACACAGTATCACTGAGAGTGATTTAATTTTCTTACTGTTAGTGTAACTAGTCCCAGGTAAGGGAATCCACTCTGTGTTGTGTTGATATCACTCAATTAAGAAACTTCAGACCTCTCACTGCTTGGCACTGTCTTTATTTTCGTTTAATGCCTCGACAAACCACAAGACAAACTTCTCTCAGCTCAGAAAGAAGTGAACTGCATAAATATGTTGAAAACATGAATTTTGTGACTCTCTTCATTTAAGTAAACACCGTTTAATGCCTCGACAAACTTCTCTCGGCTCAGAAGGAAGTGAACTGAGCGGGCAAAGCGTGCGGCGGCGCGAGAACAAGTATATACTCTTAAAGTGACAATGCACTTCCTTGAACAAATCTTGAAAATCATACATCTTAACTTGTAACAATAAAATAATAGATACAGTCATATTGAAGAAACAAAATTAAATGTATATTTAATAGGAAAAAGGGGGATTTTGAGTGAAAATAATATAACCAAAATAACTCTGTTACATTCACCCCTCCTTATTTTCATCAAAATCCTTCAATGTGTCAATAAAGACATTTTCAACTAACACACTCTGCTGGCACAAGTGAAACGTAAATCTAATCCACGCAACCAACGTAGGAGTTACCTCAATTTCAAGGTTTAGGAAAATAGGAGGTTGATCAAGTCTCATATTCCCCTTAAGTTAATGTGACGCCTAATACGCCACACAGCACTTGGCCCGATTAAACTTGACATTTATCATAAACACCGTCGGCACCTCAAATCTCTAGAAAATTCTGAAATCAATTCTCAGTTTAAACCTCTTGAACTCTTAAAACTGGTATCTGCACCATAGATTCAATCAACCTGTTTACGGATTTAACTATTCTTCCCACTCTTGTTTTAACAGGTTTAACAAGCTCGGTAAGAGCATGTGCATCAGCTTGCAATGAGGAATCAGTGCAGAGAAGTCTGATGAGTGAGGAAAGTTTTGTGCAATCTCATCTGACTGTTGTTCACGTCTATCATCTATAGACAATTCATTGGCTGCACCAGGATATAGTGTGGTCTCCGTTCTCATTGTGTCTACCACATCTGAGTGAAGAGAGGGTGCCAAATCACCGGGTAGGGTCGTGTCAGCCACAAGACTGAGTGCTGGTCCAAGAAGCTCATCCGTATAATCAGAGAAAGACTGAGATGAAATATCAGTGGACAAAAGAGTTGACATCTCTAAGTTTGAATCGGACAAGTCTGGTATGTCAGGCTGACTTGGCACTGTTGCCTGATCTACTCCATAATTGTTCTGATCAGACTCTGCAGAGGTCAGTGGCTGATCAGTTTCAGTGGGTCTTGACCCTTCAATAATGCCAGGGATCGGCAGAAAGTTCACCTCCAACAACAGATTCCTATGCACAACTTTTGTGCGGCCTGCTGCATCCTTTATCTTATAAACATGGATGTCTGGATTCCTGTCAACAACAGTGAACACTCCGTCCTCCCATTTATCAGCCAATTTTCTTTTTCCTCGTTCTGACTTATTTGCGACCAAACCCCCATCTCCCACTGACAAGAGAGTGCCTTTAACACGCTTATTGTACTGTTGAGCTTGATGTTGTTGCTCAGCAGATGAATGCTTCTGAGCAATCTGCATAGCATGTTTCAGACAAGACAGCAAAGACTTGGCATAAGAGTCATAATAAGCAACATCAGGGTTATCAAGTACCTGATTAAACAAGATGTCTACTGGAAGTCTGGGTATGCGTCCAAACATGAGAAAGAAGGGTGGATAGCCCGTGATTTCGTGAACAGTAGTGTTGTAGGCAAATGTTAGGGTTTGGATCTGTTGTGGCCATTGGTGCTTTGCTTTCAAAGGGAGTGATCAAAGCATGCCACCCAATGTTCTATTAAAACGCTCAGTGCCACCATTGCCCATTGGATGGTAGGTTGTTGTATGAGATTTTTCAACACCAGCTAGACGCAGCTGCTCAGCTATGAGGTTGCTCTCGAAACTGGTGCCCTGGTCGAAGTGTATTCTTTCGGGGAACCCGTAGATACAAAACACATTGTCCCAAAGTTTTCTTGCAACTTGCTTCGCCGTTTGATTGGTGCAAGGTAGGGATGTAACGGTATGAAAATTTTATATCACGATTATCAATATTATCACGGTTTTGTTCAAATTAGATGAAAACGTTCAAAAAGAACTGATACACACACTGAAAACATTTCAATAAGTGTTATATTTGAAAATCAACAAACAACTAATACAATTAGCAGCTATATGCACTTTTTTTTAGCATAAACATTAAATGAACATTAACATGAAGCCCTAATAATAATAATAATAATAATAAATCACTTGAAGATCATGTGATCTTCGGTTAGGAGATCTTGTGATGCTTTTTAAAGCAAATGTAGCGTCTGGACCAATCAAACACACAATTTTTCATTTGATTTAACAAATCAGTTAGTCATTAGATTAACAAATCGTCACAGTCCCCTCACCCAATAAACTGGATGCCAGGATGTCTGCAACGACACCAGGCCCCCTTTGTCCCCATGGCAACCACGACACCTCTGCTAGACCAGATCCATTTACGACCTAATGGCATGTTGAGAATTACCCCTCTCACTACAATTTCCATAGAAAATCCACAGTGCACAGTGAAAAAATTGACTCTTCTCTAATTAATTAATAGGAAAACCTTTCTTTGAGTGAACACACATCCTTCAGGTCATTGTGTATATTATTGCTGTCTTGTATATTATCTGTTGTATTGTAGACTATTTTATGCATGCTTATGATAGAACCACTCATTCATGTAACCTTACATATACCATGTTTGGTTTCTATGAATTCGTATTCGGATGATCTAATTGAGAGTGTATATTGTATGTTTATACCTATGCAACATATTAGTGCTCTAAGAACCTTTAGTAATCTTTCATCAACACCCAAGCAAATTACATATGCGAAATACCATGCTTAGAGACAAAGGATTGTAAAACCCTCCAGCAATTGCCACCTCCCGCTTGGAATTTCCATCTTTCTCATTGGACAAGCCCCTCTTGAGAGGCGTGAATCTTCGCAGACTTTAGAGGCCGCACTTCAGTGACCCGCCCAGAGTCGGTGGGTCTGTTAGGTTTAGATGAAGATGTGAGCAAACGCTCCAGGACACCTTAAGTATGTGCCAGGCTTTGGCCTTGACTTTTCTATTCATCAAGATTTTGTGACGCAAACTGGTTCTTTTTCATCAACCAACTTCAGCAAAGATCAACTTGAACCGTTGGACTGCATCAAGCCTTTCTTTCAGACAGACGAGACGTGCAAGTATCAAACGTAGTCTTATTAATTGATACATTAGGTATCATTTGGACCTTTTTACAAAGGTGTGTTTGAACTAAGAATCTGATGTTCCCTGCAGGCGTAAATCTGCTGAATATGCAAATGGTTCCATAACTTCATATTCTTATTTACTATCTGTAGCTTGTTTATTGAAGATGCAGGACAACCACCTAGCAGTGCATTACAGTAGTCCAGTCTAGAGGTCATGAATGCATGAACTAGCTTTTCTGCATCAGAAACAGGTATCATGTTTCATAAGTTGGCATGTTTCTAAGATTGAAGAATGCTGTTTTTGTAACATGGGAAATATGATTTTCAAAAGACAAGTTGCTATCTAATATAACACCCAGATTTTTGACTGTAGAGGAGGTAACCGTGCATCCGTCTAGTTGCAAATTGTAATCCACGAGATTCTGTGTACTGTCTTTTGGTCCAATAAGTAATATCTCTGTCTTATCTGAATTTAATAGGAGAAAATTATTGGTCATCCAATCTTTTACATTTTTAACACACTCTGTTAGCTTAGATAATTTAGAAGTTTCATCTGGTCTTGTTGAGATATATAGTTGAGTATCATCGGCATAACAGTGGAAACTAATCCCGTATTTCCTAATAATATTACCAAGTGGCAACATGTATATCGAAAATAGCAGAGGACCTAGGACAGATCCTTGTGGCACTCCATGTTTTACTGGTGATAATTGAGATGACTCCCCATTTAAATGAACAATGTGGTAGCGATCGGACAGGTAGGATCTAAACCATCTTAAAGCCTGCCCTTGGATACCTGTATAGTTTTGTAATCGATCTATGAGTATGTCATGATCTATAGTATCGAATGCAGCACTAAGGTCAAGTAAAACTAGCAATGAGACACAGCCTTGGTCTGACGCAAGAAGCAAGTCATTTGTAATTTTAACAAGTGCAGTTTCTGTGCTATGGTGGGGCCTGAAACCTGACTGAAATTCTTCATAGAGATCATTTTTTTGCAGGAAGGAGCACAATTGAGCAGACACAACTTTTTCTAAAATTTTAGACATAAAAGGAAGATTTGAGATGGGTCTGTAATTAGCCAGTTCACTAGGATCTAGTTGTGGTTTCTTAATAAGAGGCTTAATAACCACCATCTTGAATGGTTTTGGGACGTGACCTAAAGACAACGACGAGTTAATAATATTGATAAGTGGTTCTTCTGCTACAGGTAACAACTCTTTCAGTAATTTAGTGGGTACAGGATCTAACAGGCATGTTGTTGGTTTAGATGCAGTGATAAGTTTATTTACCTCTTCTTGTCCTATAGTTGTAAAGCACTGCAGTTTATCTTTTGGTGCGATGAATGAAGCTGAAGTATTATACGCTGTAGAATCTACATTTGTTATTGTATTTCTGATGTTATCTATTTTATCAGTGAAGAAATTCATAAAGTCATTACTATTAAACTGTGCGGGAATATTTAGATCGGGTGGCGTCTGGTTATTTGTTAATCTAGCCACTGTGCTAAATAAAAACCTTGGATTGTTTTGGTTATTTTCTATGAGTTTGTGGATATGCTCGGCCCTGGCAGCTTTTAGAGCCTGTCTATAGCTGGACATACTGTTTTTCCACGCAATTCTAAAAACTTCCAAGTTAGTTTTTCTCCATTTGCACTCAAGACTATGAGCTTTTTCTTGAGAGAATGGGTATTACTGTTGTACCATGGACCCATGGGCGCAGTACGTTTTTCTCTAACCTTTTTCAATTTGATGGGGGCAACAGCTTCTAATGTATTAGAGAAGATCGTGCCCATATTGCTAGTTATTTCGTCTAGTTCATGTGTACTTATGGGTACACAGAGCAGTTGAGATAAATCAGGCAGGTTATTTGTGAATCTGTCTTTGGTGGCTGGAACAATAGTTCTGCCCGGACGATAACGCGGAGCCATATAGTTAATATTAGTAAAACGCAGCATGTACGATACAAGGAAATGGTCAGTAACATCATCGCTTTGAGGTACGATATCTATATCAGTAAGATCAATTCCATGCGATATAATTAAATCTAGCGTGTGATTAAAATGATGAGTGGGCCTGGTGACGTTTTGCTTGACTCCAAAAGAGTTTATTAGGTCAGTAAACGCAAGTCCTAATGCATCATTTGTATTATCAACCTGAATGTTAAAATCTCTGACAATTAGCGTTTTATCAACAGTAACCAATAGGTCTGAGAGGAAATCTGCAAATTCTTTTAGGAAATCTGTATACGGCCCTGGTGGTCTTGTATTACACTTGACGTTGTTCATTGTTTTGCTCATAACTGGAGTCACTTAATCATGCAGATTTATGCTACAAGCTCTTTGTAGATTGGTACAGTAAGAAAGTTATTTCCCTTAACCAGGAAATTAACGTTCTTAGAATTGACAGACAGTTGACCCTGAGAGGTCAAGTAAATATCTACAGCGGATCTAAATATTTACAATTAATTATAACAAGTTATGATTAATTATTCATATTTCCCTATGAGCTGATTCGCTACACAAAGTTGGGGTTGATTTCGAGTTCACATACAAACATAAGTAGAATAGGCTAATTAAATTTGTCTATTTTAATGTAAGACAACATATTTTTCGTCAGTGATAGAAATATGATTTAAGACGGTAGTGTAAGCAAGTTTAGTTTGAAAACGTTTAATAGTAAATAAGACACAATTAGACAACATTTGTATAAAATAATAATAATAAGAAGAAGAAATATTTATTTGCAACAACTGATGGAGTACTGAATGCTGCACGCACGCGCAGCGCTGTCAAGGTAACATTTGGTCATTCCCTTCGCCAAGGGAGTTTCAAACGCTTATACGAGACAGTAATGCCCTGCACCCTTCAAAGAACACACTTCAAGGGCTCTGCCCTTCGTAGGGCATAGGGATGCTCACTTCTGTTTGGAATTCGCCCCATGTCTCTTGTATCACCACGGAGGTGCGGACGTGGTCTCTCGTTTCATTCAAATGCAGCTTGCGTCTCAGTTTTTGATTGTATTGAAAATGAAATCCGAGGAATTTAGTATTAATACTACTATAGTTTTGCTGTAGTGATCATATTGTCCTGACGATTGTTTTGTACACTGTTCATAATGGATTTATAAACAGGTAAGATTTCAAAACATTAATCTCAATTCAATATTTCATATACCCGTATTTATATATTATTTTAGGTAAACAAAAAAAAAATTATGTAATAAGTTAACTATGAATATACAATACATTACCCCTTAAATGTCAACCTGATAGTTTGAATGTTCGTTCGTATTGGCTCAAAGCCACTTGCTGCGAACATTTCTTCGTGGAAGCTTTGCGTTAAACAAGTGAGATAACGAAATATTTAATCTCTAATCAATATTTTTTGTCCAATTATTTGCCCAGTTAGTTTTGGTATTGAGGTAAAAGTTACCTTGCATTCGCTGTAACAGTGGGTGGTGGTCACGAAGATGACTGAGCAAATTTGATGCGTTTCCCCCTTTTGCAGCGACTTTCTTCTTGCAAGATC